CCCCANCCCCACCACACACACAACAAAGTACAGAGAATTTTATTCATTTTTGTTTTGGCTTCGTTTTGAACACGGTACAGTTGATGAAACTTTGTCTTCACGTGTTTTGCAACATGCGTAACGTTGATCTCTTCCCTCAACGCATAGCCGACTTCGTGAAAGAGCGCTTCCATCAGTTGAAAAACTCTAGTCGACTACTCTCAGATCAGGAAGGAAGCAAGAAGAAAGGAGAAAGGAGAAAGATCAATAAAGTGCAAAACAGTGTCGTTACATCCATGTATCGTTTTCATTTTCCTTTAAGGGTAGACAGCGTTATTTTCTTTTTATATTTATTTTTGAACCAATTAGAACTTTACGAAAGGGAGTTTCTTGCAGACTCAGATCGTCTGCATTTCCACCTCGTGGGGTTGGAAAAGGGGCGGGACGGTGGGAAAAAAAAAGAAAACAGCCTTTCCTGGAGAGAGGTCGACTTGAGAGGAGAGAAAGAGAAAGGGATAGTAGTGCAACATGAAGCTTTCGATTCATCTCCCGGCGATTTTTTCCTGGCGCAAGCTCTCAGAAAACACCAAAACAGAAAGAAGCAAAAACAGAGAAACTAAAGAAAGAAAAAAAAAGAACGTGTGTGTGTGTGTGAGGCTCTGTGTGTGCTGTCTGCAGTTGCCGATAAAAGCTTCCATTCGAAGTGCTTACTCGGTCGCAACGTACATTTGTGCTCGCGGAGCGCGAAAGCTTCGCGGAAACACAACGAAAGGAAAAAACGCGCCAACTTCTAAGACGATCAGCAGCATGAACAAAAGCATCTGCGGTGAAATATTCTCCTATGCGCACACAAGCACACAACGACGTCAAGATCGCATCGTTTATGAGGAGACACCGAGGTTGCGACGCCAAACGCATTCAGAAAGAGGAGGAAAAAAATGTGAACAGAACTCGCACGTCGCATTGATTCACGCTCTACTAATAAAAGTAATTCGTTGCTGCCCTGGGTTGGCGCAACTTCAACAAATGATGCGTAGCCGTTTTAGAGCAGGATTCAGCTTACGTCGTCCTCGTACAGGTCCACCACCGCAACCATCATGGGAACACACTATCCATGGAGAGAAAAAAGAGCGATAAAAGAAAAAAAACCGATAAGGTTTACACTACTGTTTCGGGCGTGAGGTTCGAAAAGAATAGAAATATATATTTGAACCTTGAGAAAAACCAGAACCGCCGGTTTACAACGGAAGCTCCTCGTCTTCTGAGTGATTGCCGCGCTGAGCCATACGGCGGCCTTCGCGCTCTCGACCGCTGCCGCCTGTTGTCGCGGCCACCTCTGCCATCTCCGCATCCGGAGAGGAGTACTCCTCATCGTTGTCTACCTCATCCCCTTCCTGGCTAGAGGCGTCGCGGGAGTCTGCACTACCACGCCTCTCCCCCAACCCTGTGGCATCTGCGTTCTCTCCCGTCACCTGCAACGTTGACCCCACCGGGACGGCAAGAATTGTGTTTTGCGGCATGCCGGGAATAATGTTCGTCGCGAACGAGTTGGCGAGGTTGGCGAAACTGCTGTTCACCAGCAGCGACTCGCGCTCCTGCGCGTCCCCTGGAACGGCGCCGAAGAAGCTGTAGCGCGAGCGCACTGAACCACGAGCCGAGCCCATGCCAGAACGCCGTGCATCGCTAACGGCCTCCTCATCGACGGCCTCCGTGCTGTCCACATCTTCGACCTCCTCTTCATTGCCGTCTTCGGAGGGGGTATAGATGAAGTGCGACATGTACGCGCTGATCAGCAGCGGAATTAAACAGAGCAAGAAGGTGAAATAGTGGTTGAAGGGAAAAACGTAGCCAGAGCTAATAGACCGCGCGAACACTGGGGCAAAGATGAAAGGCACCGCACACCGTACCATGCACGCGGTGGACTGTTGAATGCCAAACATCATGCCCACCTTGCCAGGCGGGGCCGTCATGGAGACGATGAGCATGATAAGTCCAAAGGACCAGCACTCGACAACCTTCCGTACCATGCCGACCACCATGGTGTAGTAGAAGCCAGCCGCAGGCGTCATCGAGGTGGCGAAGGGCATGATGCACGTCAGAATCCCATACAGCACTTGCGCAATTTCCCACAACAGTATCGGGCCACCGACGATTTGGATCGTCCTGGCGAACACGATGTTCGCTAACACCGCGGGAACGCTGTTCACCAGCACCAGCACGGAGATCGAGGAGGGGGTTAGACCGAGGCCGCCGTTCAGCGTCGGTGCGGCGCACCACAGCGGGAAAATCACCGCAAACGCCATGTCGGAGCACGAAATAAGCATCGAGATAATCAACACCCGACGCAGCAGCGGTCTCGTCAAGGCTTGCTTGAAACCGAAAGACTGGTGCGGCGGCGGCGGGGCAGGCTCGGCGTTGACGACCACCGTGTCGGGCTGCGGCGGCGGAGACGCAGGCGTCGTCTTTGGGCCGGCCGCGTGCACCTCCTCTGACGTGACCGTCACCTCCACCACCTCGTCGCACGGCAGCTTTGGCTGGAGGAGTTTGATAAGGGGGCCAAAAAGCTTCACCAGTGTTGGTGGCAGCACCTCCCGGAGCGGCCGGGCCGCCTTGTTGCTCTCGTGCAGAAAGAGACTGCTAATCACGACGGAGAAGAGGTTGTACAGTGCTACAACGAAGCTCGGCAGGAAGGCGGGGTAGCGGGCCAGGAAGCCCGTCTCCGAGAGGCCGAGTCTCTTCTGCGGGTCGTAGAAGAAACCGCCCACTGCCGGGCCGAAGAGGGTTCCAATGCCCCACGTAAGGCTCACCAACGCCAGACCCTTGGCTCGGTTTGTGGAGTCGGTCAGGTCGTTGATCATTGTTTTGGCAATAATCGAGCAGCCCGCCACCAGACCGTGAACAAAGCGCCAAAAGCACATTGTCCAGATACTGCCGCTGAGACCAAAGAAAAACATACACAAAGCGCACCCCAAAACGCCGACGTTGATACCGATTACGCGGCCAATCTTGTCGCTGATGGAGCTCCACATCTTGCCGCTGAGCACCTGGCCAAGCATGAAAAGCCCGACCGGGAAGCCGGCCGCGTAGCCCGCGGAGGCCGCGTCCCACCCCTGCAGGAAGGTCACAAACTTAGGGGTGAAGGGGATGAGGACGGTGGAGCAGATGCTCTCGGTGAGCAGCACAACGCACAGAATCGCGAGCTGACCCCACGGCAGCGGCGTCTCTTTCACTGGGGCACGTTGCTTTTGCGAGGACGGACGCGACGTCTCGGCCGCGGCACCGTCCGTCTTTGCCGCCCTCGCATCTTTCTTTGGGCGAGCCATGGATTCGCTTTTCGGGGTTTCCCTTCTCAGAGCAAAGCACGTGGAGTGAGCGCGGAGTAAGCGAACGACAGTAGAAAATGCAAGAGGAAACTGCTGACCGTAAACGGGAAACGAAGGAGAAACGACAGTGGAAGGCAGAGGAAGGCAGAGGAGCAGTGGGGCCAGCTGCGGTTCTCTACGGTCAACGCTCCGGAAGGTGTAAAGGAAGGAAACAATTTACTGCTGTTGTTCTGCTGTTCCAATGAGAAAAACGGAGAGAAGAGACGACAATACCACCAGAGAAAACAGTTGCACACATGGAGGAAACACGAAGGAAAGAAGTTGTTGCTGTGACCTACGCGGAACACAACAACCACAACACAAAAAGAGAGCTTCACGGGGCTGCGTTTGAATCACGTGATTATTATGATCATCATTTACGAGGAAGGCAAAGAGAGAGGTTCATCGTGATGTTAAGAAAGGCAGAAGCAGCAAAGACGATGAAGGGGAAGTGGATGTTGAAAGAGGTGAAATTGCAAGCGTAGGAGCAGGGGGAAAAAACCAGCAACTACAGCTACGTTGGCATAACGCAGCAAATCTGACAACGGGACGCGGAGAATCGTATGAATCCCTTCCCGTTCAACGAACAAACGGAAAAGGGTAATAATAACACGAAGAATACCACCGGAAAAAAACGCATCGTAGCTACGCCATTCAGTGAGCATTGAACTCTCTCGCTGCCCTGCTAAAAGACCGGCAAGACAGAGTTTTACGTTTCGCTGTCTGCGGTTTTCCTTTTCTCGCGTTCACCTTCCGGCTTCTTCCCTCTCCCCACGCACACACTCGGACCTTTTTCGTGATTGTTCTTTGCTGGCTGATGGTGTTAAGAGAGAACAAAAAGGACGTACAAAAAGCAGAGAAACCAGAAAAAGAAAAAGAGAATAAATCATGTTCATCCACTACGTTGGGCAGTGGTCGCTCTCCTCGCAAACCGCGCGCAACGCCGCACGCCTTCGTTGCACAAAAACAAGTAGAAGTGAGTCAGTGGCGAGGAAGGTGAGCAACACCGTACAGACCACTGCAAGCACAATCGGACGCCACACATGAGTTGAAGTGGGCTTCGGCGCCGCCGTAGTTGTCGCTGAGGATGATGAAAAGGATGTTGCCGCTGACCCCACTGCATATTCAGGTGCATACGGTGCCGAAGCCGCGGAGGCGAGAGCAGTGGACGCCGCCGCGAGCCAGGAAGACAAATCCACTGAGCCGCATCGTTGATCTGGCCCAAGGAGGTCCTCCGTGAAGGTAACTTGAGGTAGGCTCATCGAAGTTGGTGGCACAAGGGCGGACAGGAAGTAGTTTGCCGTCAGTTCAGTCGCGCATGCGATATCCGCGCAATCCGACACAAAGTTGGCCAACACAGATGGAATGCACACGGCCATTGCTCACAACAGCTCGCTCCTTTCGATTCGAAATTCAAAACCAAAAAAGAGACCTTTTCTGCTCCTGTTTGCGCACGCCACAATCGTTGGAGGACAGCGGGGGGTGATTCGCTAAATCTGGAAAGGCGTGTCTTTCTTAAATATTATGTAGGTAAAGGAAATTATCGAGAAAGAATGAGTCAAATAAAGAAGAGAAGGATCAAAAAGTACGGGAGTGATTTCAGCAGAAGACATAAAACAAAAAGAAAACCTGTAGAGCATCACTGGTTCATTTGATGGTAGTAAAGAGAACCGAAAAAAGAAAGAGAGTTTCGTGCCGTATCGCACTTCCGCATGCCCAGTCACAAGTGGCTAGCTTGGGATGCGCTAACATACACACACACACACCTTCATGCACCTGTATGAAGAAACGTAAAAAGGCGAATAAAACGAAGTACGTACACGAAGTCTAGCACGAAAGGAACACCGAGACGCAACACGTCTTCCGCAAGCCTCCTCCCTCCCTTTTCACGAGCTAAACTAATCGTACGCAACTTATCGCCATCGCGTTTTCATGAGAATCGTTTACGTGTGTATGTGGGTGTGTATGGTGGCCCCCACTGTCGTTTTCGTACAGCGGTAACATCCACATCTGTGTGCGACGTTTGATGAGCACCATAGTCATAACGCCAAAACTCGTACCGCATTGGCAACGTAGAGAACACCGTTTTTGAAACGTTTATGTCCTTGTGTATTTTTTTTCTGACAAAACACAACTGTTTTTACGAGAAGACGAAAAGAAAGACAAAATTCACAGCACGAGAGATCAGATATATATAGAAGAGACGATGTGCACAGAAAGCAAGAGAAAACAAGTATTATATATAGGTGAATGAGTTAAAGCCACGTAGTTCCTTTATGCTTCCTTTTTTTTTTGGAAAGCATGACGATTTCAGCAAACGAGAGAAAACAAAATAATAAAGAAAGAAAACGTGGCTGCAAGAACAGTCTCAAAACGCGACTCGCGGAAGTCTGTCATCCAATTGCGATCCAGCTGCATAAGCATCCGCTTTACCCTTTACACTCCTTTGCAGCGAAACATGCACGGATACAAAGATATGTATACGCTTGAAGGAAAGCAAAGCAAACAACAACACGGAGGAGGGAAGGTCAATTTCGCAGCGATAAGGAATAGAAAGGAAGCAATAGCTGAACAGGAAAAAAAACAATCCCCTTCCCGACTTCGACAGTGTGGTTTCCATAGCTCGCTACTCATGAACATGCACACCGATCAAATGTCCGCTCTATGTTGAACGCGTGCTTTTCTCTTTTTTTTTGCTTCCGGAACGCCACAGTGTTGTTGACGTTTTCCAATCGGCTCGGACACGTACCCAATTGAGCGAGTCCGCAAAACGCCTTCCTTACCTCCGTAAATCTAGAAGAAAGAGAAGTACGGGGAGATATTGTTTCATACATACGAAGGCAGGGAAAGAGTAAAAAAAAAGCCTTGACAGACACACACACGCAAAACAAACAAACAAACAAAAAATAGACACACAATGAAAATGACGTCGATGAGGCTGTTATACCTTACGAGCCTTTTAGAAAGCAGAAAAATAAAACGCTCAGCAACCTAGCCCTTGAGAGAAGACAAACAATCGTACCAGAGAATAGTTAAAAAAAAAACGAGAATGGAAAAGAGTGACCATCACGCACAGCACACTGAATAAAACTGAAAAAGGGGGCAAATATAATCTAGCTGCGAATGAAACAGTAAGAAACATGACGGAATGAAAAAAGGATCTGGAAACAAAAGGGCAAAAAAAGAAACTGTCTCCGCTGATCGGTGTCTTCACTCTTCGGCTACGACCAGAGGAAGTTGTTCACATCGCAATGTTGTGGAGATAGCAAAAAAAAGAAGATAACAACTCGAAGAGCGAGCACAGAACACTCTTAGCAGTGGTGTCAGCAAAAAAAAAACAGACAAAATAAACCATTGAAAAAGATAATCTTTTCTTTTTGTGTGCGTGTGTGTGTTCCTTTGTGTTTCGGGATTTCTCCACTTTATCAGAAAGAAAGCGTTTATTTTTCAGTTGTTAACAACGATGAAACAAAAGAGAGAAATAAAATGTTCAATAGAGAACACGTACCTACACTACGGAAGGAAAATATTAACAATAACAATAGGCACATCTTTGTGGTGGCGCAGACAAAGAGCATTGCGCGTGGGCAGGTGAGTCTGTACATGTGAAAAGGAAGCGATTGCTGAAACGACTCCTCTTTCTTGCCGTTGCGCACTCTGAGACGACTGCTTCTTGCAAGCAGGCCGTCGTGCTACTAATTGCTCTCTTCCCCGGAGTGGTCACTGTCCTCGTCAGAGGAGGCTCGGCTATCACCTTGCGCGGTCTGCATGACGTCATCTTGGGAGTAAATGGACGGGGTTGCTTGGATCAGATCCTCCGGGTCTACGACCGGCAACGGCATCATCGGCATCATCATACCCGACCCTTGGCGCTGGTTCATGCCGTAGTTGCTGCCGTTGGAGCCAGCCCGGTTCACTTCTCCAATGGAGAGACCACGTGACTTCGGCGTGGAGTCGTCGTCTGAGGCGTTCACGTAGGCCTGCCCGTTGCGCTCGCGCAGCACCATCGGCGCAATGGGCGGGCCTTCCTTTGGCGGTGCACTGGTAATACAACAGAAGATCAGAATGGCGAAGAGCACAATGAGAATGACCACGGCGATGATGAGGAACAACACCCACCAGTGCTTCTGCACCCATGTCAAATCCTTGTAGCCGAGAATAAAGGAGGGCTGCGTGGGGGTGAAGGTTTGAGGCGGGGGGTACTGGTAGACCTGCGCCTCACACGCCGTCACAAATTTGGAAACGGGGAGGTAGTAGTCCTGGGGGGCCACGGGGCCAATATTGGCCAACACCGTGTCATCTGCAGCCGCCTTGGTGGTAATAAGCGTGTAGTTCTGACCGTTGGGCTGATCGAAGGCGTCGTCCCATTTCAGACCCGCAGCGTAAGGCATAAAACCGCCGCACGGAACTTTCTGCGGATTCGTGTAGTACTTAAAGCCGCACTGGTAGATGTTCAAGCCAGGCTGGTCCCCGTACGGGTAAGCCATTACCCGTTTTGAGAAGAGGCCCCACTGGATCGTGAAGACGCAGTAAAACATATTCGGATTTTTTGACGAGGGTGGGTAGAAAGGGTTGTTGTTGTAGTTGCACAACGTCTCTCCTGTCCCTGTCTTCTGGGAGAGCGACGTGTAGGTGGAGTAGCCGGTTGGGTTAGGATCGTGCTTCTTTATCATGGACCACACGCGCTTCGCACGTGCAAGCGTCTCACTGCTGAAGAGGTTCAACCCGTTTGCGGAACACATCGACATGGAGGAATCAAACGTCTTTGCAGCAGCGTTATCGGTGTACAGCGCCTCTCCGTCGTTATAGTACGTTATTCTCTCCGGCAACCCAGTCTGTGCTCTGGCCATCTCAGTGCATAGCGTGATACAGGCAAGCACCAGACAAGTGCTCCCGAGAAGCGACCACGACCTTCGTGATCCTGCCATGGTTTCTTCTTCCTTTGTGTTTGGTGGGTTCTTGGTAGGGTTCGACTGAAGGTGCTCGTGCGTCCGTGCCCGTGGCTGCAGGTGAGTACGAGATTGCAACTGCCCGTACAAGAGTTTTGTGTGTCAACGCAAACGAGCGAAAATGCGCGCCTCGGCACACAACAAAAGGCACAACACAACGAGGAACCGAAGGAAGAGATTACTGTGTTTGTTTGCCTCCTTCCAAGCAACTGTGAAGTAGTATTCTTGGCAAGAAAGATACGTGATGATTCCGCTGACAGCTTTTCTTTCCCTCTATCAGCGCAAAAAGTACAAGCAGGACTCTCTTAAGTGGGACGCGCTTTCTGCCGCAATAGGTTCGTGTGTATCGCTTACGGGGTTTAGTATTCACTCTTCCTGCCGAGAGAAAACCGTTGTGGAAGACCAAGAGGAAGAAAGAAAGAAAAAACGGTAAGCATGAAAGTGGAGAACGAAGGCAAAAGGTGGAATAGGACATGCATGCAGTGAGAAAGATGGTAAACAATAACAACAACAGAAAAGTGTACAAGACGTGCCCCGTCAAGGCGCAAGTGAGTACTTGTGGTACATATTGCGAGTAATACTACGCCGAGGAGACAGAGCTGTACCAAGCGCACAGACAAACACACAGCGAAGAGAAACGCTACACCAAGTCCTGTTTTTTCTTCTTACTTTCAGTTATTACACAGACTGTTCGTTGAAATTAGTTTTATCATTCGCTTCTCCGCGTGACAGAAGATTACCAACAGCAAGCACACGGGCGAACGCGTCTATGCGGTGAAGGTGACTGGAGGTCTTGCTACGCCTGAGCTTCGGTGACCAAGCAAGAAAGTGTAAGAAAAAGAAGAGCATCTCGAAATGAAAGAAGACAGCGCATTTGGAATGCGGAAAGTAAGGTAGGCAGCCAATAAGAAAAAAAAAAGAGGAGGAGGAGCACGTTAGTGAAGCACACTGACATTGACATTCGAAAGCAAAGGACATAGTTGTCATTTGTGAGCGTTTGCCTTTGGTCTCTATGAACGTCTCGTCCCAGTGCGCAGACAAATTGGAAGGAAAACCAAAAGAAAAGAGCGTACGTCCACTATAGTCTTTTTTTCCTTCTGCTTTAGGAACGAGAGAAGGATGGCAAATAGCGCTCGTCCGTGTCGACGGTGTGCCGCCCGTCCTCTGCGTCCAGCGCGCCAGAGCGGTGCACCGCCGCGGCAGTGGCGCTGCCCTCGCCAGAGATGCGGTGACGGTGCCTCCGTATCTCCTGCACCGCCTCTGCATTCGTCCGCTCCAACGCTGGCAGATTCACGTAGGTGTCGTGCAATGGATTTGTGCAGAAAGAACTCGCCAGCGACATGTACACGCTCTCACGGCCGTCCCTGTCTTCGCTTTCCCCGTCATCGTCACCGTCCGCGAAGGCGGTGCGGCGGTGCGGCGAGTCGGCGTTATCTGCGTCGTTCTCAAGAGCCGGCTGTGCCGCGAAGTCCAGCTCACACTCCTCGGTGCGAGTGATCAGTACGTAGAAGCTCATCAGCACCGACGCTGCCGCCGGAACGGCGGCCACCAAAAAGACGAGGTAGTAGTTGAAGGGGAAGATGTGACCTTTACGTAGCGACCACGCAAAGAGTGGGGCGACGATGAAGGGGACAACGCAGCGGGTGGCCGCGGCACAGGACTGGCTGATGCCATATACCGACCCAACGCAGCCGAGTGGAGCAGCCTTTGCGGTCAGCATGTGAATGAGACTGTAGCACCACAAGAGTCCCACCTGACGGGCCATGCCAAGAAGCATGACGTAGTAGTAGCCCCCATTACCCATCTTCGACCCAGCAGGAATGATGAGCGTGGCGACGGTGTACATAGAGAGGGAGTAGCGCCAAAAGACGATGTACTCATTGCTGAAAAAGCGACAGACGTGGTGGAAGTAGAGGTTCGCAATGATAGACGGAATGCTGTAGGTGAGCATCAGCAGTGCCACTGCGTTCTCCGTGAGACCCATCCCACCCACACCGCTCTCCGCGTTACCCCACAGCGGCAGAATTTCACCATACGTCATGTCCGACGCGGCAAGTAACATGTAGAAGATCGTGATGTTCCGCAGTGCACCAATGCTCATGGCTTGCGCGTAGGTCAACTTTCGCCGGAGGGTCGGCTGTGCAGGAGCAGGAGCGGCAACCGCCGCGCCGGCGCCAGCGCACGTTTCCCGCACCTCGCCGAAGGCGGCGTCTGCGCCGTTTTGCTTGTCTCCTGCGTTGAGCGCCGCAACACGCTTTGACCCACCGTCCACCAACTCGGCGTCCGCCTCTGCGACGAGCACCACATCTGACGCTGCGGTTGCTCCCTCGCGGCGTGCCTGCAATTCCCTCACCCAGCGACCCAGCTTTGTGTCCTTGAAGTGCTTCCGATGCACGTTCGTCTCCTTCAGCAAAAACACGCAAAACGTCAAGGCAACCATCGTGTAAAAGAAAATGGCGAGGCTCGGCAGGAAGGCGGGGTAGTTCTCAAAAAAGGACCGCAGGGAGCCACCAGCGAGCCACTGCAGGTACGGCTTGGCTGATGGGTTGTAGAGGAAGCCGCCGATGAAAGGGCCAAAGAGCGTGCCGACAGCCCACGTGATACTCACCAAGGCAAAGCCCTGCGCTTCGTTGGTGCGGTCTGTGATGTCTGAAATCATCGTCTTGGCGACGAGGGTGTTACCGTTGAAGAAACCGTGCAGAAACCGCAGCACGCAGCACGCAATGAAACTTCTGGAGTAACCAAAGAGCAGCATCGCAACGCCACTTGCCAGCAGGCCGGTGGTGAGTGGCAGCTTGCGACCGTAGGTGTCGCTCAGGTAGCCCCACAGCTTGCTGCTCACCACTTGGCCCAGCATGAAGAGACCGACAAGGATGCCGGTGTAGTAGCCAGCTTCCTCCACCATGATGTGCTTTAAGTAGGCGATAAAACGGGGCACAAAAGGCAACAGCATTGTACCGCAAATAGACTCCGACATGAGTACAACAGTCAGCACACTCATCTGTTTTCGCGGAAGCGGCGTCACGCGAGGCGGGGCGGCAGACTCGCCGGAAGCAGGCGATACCATCCCTCTAGAGGCGGCGGCATCCACCCGCCGGGAAGCACTTTCCTCGTTAGCATCTTTTGATGTCATCGCGCTTGATCAGCAAAACAAAACAAAAAGAAGAGAGGAGAACAAAAAGAGGACGCGGAACACGTAACAAACTTCTTGCCCTGTCGAGGTAAACTGCTCAAGGATGCAACGTCTTTCATACGGGTGAGAGGCAATCACAAAATATATACCTCTACGCCCTTAGCGCTTCTGGAAAAAACAAAGTGACAAAATAAATAAACAACAACGCGAAGGAAATATTAATTCGCCGTAGAAGAATCAACAAAGGAAACGGTAGTATTGAAGCGAAGTCACCGAAGAGAAGGAGTTTAAATGTTTACGGAAGCCTTCCTGCTGCACTTTCCAATTAGCCGGTCAACGCGAAAGTGACGTTTACGTGGTGACGACGAGGAAAAAAAAAGAGATCGCGTTTAATTGCGTAGTTCCAGTGAGAGGGAAAATAAAAATGCGGTTTGCGTGAGCTGTGCAGCTCTGCAATTCAGCAGCGTTGCAAAACAGACACACAAACCAACAAAACAGAGTTCTGAAAAACTCAAAAAAAAAAGGGAGCACGTCACAGTTCACGATGTTGTGTAGAAGACCAATAAAGGGAAAAAGAAGCCTAATGTATGTTAAGGTAGATTATTTAATGCTGTGTTGTTGTCGTATTATGCATACATACATGCCTTTTGCACTTCAAACCACGAACTTGACGTGTTGTTTGTGTGGAGAGAGGTTGAAGCAGAGAGAGAATCAGAAGAGGGATGGTTAAACACTCGTCTTACGGTAGAGCTAGGCATCGGACACAAAACACTCGGCATCGCGTGTTTGAAGCTATGCAGCGCGGGCATGGTCGTTGGAGAACAACTTAGCCGTTGAGTGAAACGAAATCTAAAGAGGGAGAGAAAACGGCGAACGCGCCGAGTTCTCCAAAAGAAAAACTCTAGTCGACTACTCTCAGATCAGGAAGGAAGGAAGAAGAAAGGAGAAAGGAGAAAGATCAATAAAGTGCAAAACAGTGTCGCTACATCCCTGTATCGTTTTCATTTTCCTTTAAGGGTAGACAGCGTTATTTTCTTTTTATATTTATTTTAGAACCAATTAGAACTTTACGAAAGGGAGTTTCTTGCAGACTCAGATCGTCTGCATTTCCACCTCGTGGGGTTGGAAAAGGGGCGGGACGGTGGGAAAAAAAAAAGAAAACAGCCTTTCCTGGAGAGAGGTCGACTGGAGAGGAGAGAAAGAGAAAAGGAAAGTATACAACGTGAGGCTTTCGATTCAACTCCCGGCGTTTTTTTCCTGGCGCAAGCTCTCAAAAAAAAAAAAAAAAGCTACCTTGAGGGGCTCACTTCGCAGCAAGTACCTTAACAAACGAAAAGGCAGTAGTGGGGAACACATGCGACCCGTATGGTGCCCTTTTGCTTTGTGGAACTAAATGCTTCTGCACAAAAAAGAGGAAGTGAGGCTCCGTGCATTACTTACGGGGGACCTCAGTCAACATCACAAAAGCAGTTCCCGTATGCTCGCGTAGAGAGAGAGAGAGAGAAAATACTATTTTGTTGTCGTCGTTGTCTCAACTCGTCACCTAACTCATGCGAACTCAACGCTATTACTGTCACCCATTTAGCCTCTATCCGCCTTCGAAGGTTTGAGAATCATTCACGTTTCCTCGGTGGGTAAGTGGAATAACTTATCAGAACAGACCAGACGTTCATAAAAGCCGTTGCGTAAGCAGCAATGCGAAGCGGACAGAAAAGGGCCGAAATGAAAGCTAGCAACACACACACACACACACACACACACACACACACACACACACACACACACACACAGCGAGAGAGAGGCGAGACGTCTCACCTCGCCTCC